AAAAATAAAAACTGACTCCCTGCATGGAATAGGAGCTCACTCCATCCGTTCTGCACCTCGACATCGTATTGGAGTTCTTCCAAGAACAGTGCACCCCCTCAGGGGAAATACTCAGGTGTCTAAGTCAGCTTGATTTGTTGGGGAGGTGTATCATCTGGGATTGTGCATACTGGATGCTTCTGCCTCAGAGTGTCTGGGCGGGAGGCTTGTAGCTGGCTTTCCCAAGGTGTAGGTGTGGCTATACATACACCAGGATCTTCTTACACAGTATGAGCATGAATAGAAGGACAATTATGCCGGGCTCCCGGACTGGCGTAATCAGCAGAGCATGCAACTCTTGATCTCAGGGTCTGGAGTTCCAGCTCCATGTGAGGTGTAGAGATCACTAAAGAAATAAGCTTAAGAAGTATAATTATGCCAAAAAAAAATTGACCCCCTGCTAGAAAAGAAACATATTCTCTGTGTGCATGTCTATGTTTAACTTATCTATATGTTACAAAATATTTTGCCTGACATTGAGTTCACAAACCGTAACCAACTGCAACAAATATGTACAACAATCTGACTTCAACACAATATTCTAAGACCAAGGAGATTTTTAAAACTATTTCTGCTCTTCTGAATTATCCACAGGACTCTAATGATGTGGTAGGTGATGCTATTAAGGGTGATGACCGTAAATATAACTTATCGGGTGTTTACTACATGTTAAACACTTTCAACGAATCGGCCCTCATCTTGAACACTGCTTTGCAAGGTACATAATATTCCTGTTTCAAAGATGAGGAAACGGAAGCTCCAGGAGATGATGCCGCCTGGCTGAAGCCTCACAATTATTATAGTGTCTGAGCCTAGAGGATAACTGGATCTGCTGGTCTCCATAGCTTGTGCTCATCCTCAACCCATCCCACAGCTGAAAGGGACTATTTCTGAATTAAGGTCCAGGACAGGGCTTGCAACCTTTAAAATATGAGTCTCTGGATCTTCTTTAAAAAAAAAAAAAAAGTTTATTTATTTATTTTGAGAGAGAGAGAGATTGCATGCAAGTCAGGGAGGGGCAGAGAGAAAGGGAGAGACAGAATCCCAGGGAGGCTCTGCACGGACAGTGCAGAACCCGATGTGGGACTCAAACTCCCAACAGGTAGGGTGATGACCTGGCCTGAAGTGGGGCAGCCACCCCAACTGGGACACCCAGGCACCCCTAGTCTTTGAATCTTCAACCCTGTCTTGCACAGTGGATTTGGGGGGGGGGGGGGGGGGAGGAGGAGGGAGGATGGTGGGTGGTAAGTGATAGGCTATACTCTCTTAGACTTTAGGAGGCAGCCATTTAGACCAACTACACATGTCAAAATATCAAGCAGCAAAATGTAACATATTTAGTAGAATGGTGACTCCCAGTTAGAAATTTCTTAAACAGAGAAAACAAGGAAAATTTCTTTTTTTTTGAGATAAACATCCTACAATCTGGTTCTTTTTTTACATGAGGGGCCAAAGCTGAAACAGCAGCCAAGGCCTCAGTGTGCTTCCTTAGGGAGATGCTACCTACAGGAGCTGCAGGTATTCCTCTGGCATTGGATCAATCGGATCTCTTGGTCAGAAAATAATCAGGATAAAACCTTATTCGGATCAGATTCAGGTCTCCAGCTCGCGTAATAATATATCAGGTAATTACAGGAACCTGGCAGTTTACAAAGGCGGATCGTCCAGTATAACTCTTTCAAGAGTTCATCCTGTTCCTAGACGAAGTTCAATGTATAAAGAGTTTCTGATATACTGAGGTTCACCTGTGATGGAATCGCATGACCTCTAATTACCTGTAATCATGGAAACAACTCAGACAGAATACGTCAGGAGCCTGAGGCTGGTGCAGAGCTGGTCAGGCTTCCTGAAACCAGTCCTGAAGACAACATCAATCCCTGGGACACTCATCGAAGACATTTACTCCTAATCGCTTTTCCCCTGCGCAGCCTGTTCCTCTTCTATTATCTCGATGCCGGGCGCTCCCTAATCCATGGCTGTCTGTACCCTGTTAATAATGCAGTTTTCCTCCCAGGGCCGCATTTCAAAAGAAATGTCTGCGTTGCTTTGAAATGTCAGGATTTTCAAATCTTAGATCAGCTGCTCGATAAGACCATCATCTTGCAGCCACTAAGCTATAGATGCAACATTTATGTCAAAGTCTTATCAGGGCCCCAGCTTTAACCCGCCCCTCAGCGCATCTGGTGATGCGCCCCACCCTCACTTTCGGGAAACGGAAAACACAGCCTGGGACTAAGGCTCAGGGGCTCACCCGTCCAACTGTCCTGGCTAGCCCCACCAGGAGAATTACTTTCTTGAGCAGCTTTCGGAGGACTACAGTGGCAGGTATTAACCTTTCATCCCCAGAGTTGCTCTTTTCACAGGGATTGACACACCACCCCGGACCTGGCGCAGAGACTGTAAGTACCAACCCGATCTGCACGGTGAGGGGGGCACACAACACATGCATGCACGCACCTGCTGCAGCCTAGCCGGCCCCTCTTGGAGCCTCAGCTCAGGCCGAGCAAGGACAAAGGTAGACTAACTGACAGATGCCAGTGGTAGCTTTGTGAAGCGATGAGGCGCAGGGGTCTGAAAGAACAGGAGCCAAAGAGAGACAAGGAAGCGAAGAAGAAATTTCTCTGACGAAAGTTTCCCATCAGCTCTCGATCAGGGATGTGGATGAAGGGTGTAAATAGGGTTCACCGCTGAATAAAACCAATCGCCAAAGAAACCCAAAAGAGAGGGCACCTCATCGCCAGCCCGTAAGCTTTATGAAAGCAAGGGCGTCATCTTTTTGTTTTGTGCTTGGGAGCACCCCACCCGACTTTCCCCTACAACGCTGGCCTTTCATTTGGTATCTCTTGGCTGAAATTAAGACATATGAACAGAAAATCGTAATAAACACTGTTGAGGCTAGACCCCACGTGCTCTAACTTCTTACATAGCAAATCAAACACTGCCTGATGGAATGCAAACCCTTTCAACATGGAAAGTTGCTTTATGTTAACCCAGAGGAGACATCCTAGTCAAAAAAAGCAGCTGTGTCTGCTTGATTATCAAACTATTACTAGCTGTACTTTTCCTATAACCTCCAGATCTAAAGGCTTTTTTTTTTCAAAATATTTACTTTAGTTAGCCAAGAGACTCATAGTTGGAAGAATGTAGACTTAGGTAAAGATTGTTAACAGAAGCAGAGGCGTTGGGAGATCAACGTTCTTATTCATCCTAGAAGGTATGTGTCCACACTGCAAGAGAACAAGTTTATCATCTGTTTTAGTGCATAGGCATCAGGGAAAAGGCTTACCGATGTGCTGACTTCTATTGCTTCATGAGTCTTACAAATCTAAGGGTATACTTTGGACTATCTTTTGAATAATAATTTTTTTTAAAGGGTTAGGAGGGCGTCTGATTGTCAGTCAGTTAAGCGTCAACTCTTGATTTCGGCTTAGGTCATGATCTGGTTGTGAGTTTGAGCCTGCTTGGGATTCTCTGTCCTCTGCCCCCTCCTTGCTTGCTCTCTCTCTCTCTCTCTCAGAGCTTAAATAATGTTTTAAAATTTTTTAAAGGAAGAATTTAAAGAAA